AAGACCGCCTACTCTGGAGGAACCTTCAGGTATCATCATCCAGGAGGGCAAGATCTTTGGATGGCACTCCTGCAGGCGGCATTGAAGCCTTTTTGGAAAGGATTTTGCGTAGCAGATGTTGCATGCATTGCTGGTGCTTTCCTCGCCCTCCAGCAGCGCGCAGAGTTTCGAGCGCCCCTCTCCCTTCCGCGTGAGCGCCGCGAGAAGAGGCAGAAGTGGGCCGGCTGGCGCGCAGAGGCGCTCGCTGGCGGGGCCAAGCGGGCCCGCGCATGCACCGAGGTGGCGGGTGGCAGGCGGCAGGACATTCTGCGAAATGGGGACGGGGGATGCACTGCGTGCATGACCAAACATCTGGAGGAGGAGGTGAAGAACTGGGGGAAGGCTTGGGTGAGGAGGCTAAACATGGCGGCGTGGAGATTTTCCGGGCCAGCCGACTCGGCGATCCCGACCCCGCCTTCACCCGAGGAGATCCAACGTCTCAGCGAGTATTTCAAACGAGCCACCATAGCAGCAGATGGCTTCCATCCGCGTCATTTTAATATGCTGTCCAGGGGCTCGCTGTGCGTCCTCAGTCAGGTCATGGGCGTGATGTCGATCGCGGGCTCTACCCCGTTCTGGATGCACCAGCTCATTATCGCTCTATTCAGAACACTTGTATCTGGGAGGAGGCCTATTGGCTTCGATCAAAGTTTGGTCAGGATGGTTTCCAGATGGTACTCCAGGTTTTGCAAGGACTGGGGCCGCCAGGTCCAGGGCCAAGGAGTTTCTTCCATTGGGGCAGGACGCAGCCCAGCGGACGCTGTTTGGAGGCAGCAGCTGCGCGGCGATCTAGCAGCAGGCGAGAAGCAGCATGTCCCTTGAGTCCCGGCAGATCTGAAGCAGCGCTACGAGCACGTCCAGCATCCGCAGCTAGTGCAGGCAGCCGTAGATTTGAAGTGTCCTCTTTTTGCTATACGTTTTCAATGCACACATGCGGGTGTGGGGGGACTACTGAGCATGCATGGGGTGGTGTCTAATGGCATGCAGTCCCGTCGAGGAATAGTAGCAGGTAGCTCTATCGCCACGTTCGAGATTCAGCTATACTGTATTCCGACTGTTAATATTTTGAGCAAGGATTCTCCCCCAGCCTCACGGCCCACGTGCGCGACTTCAGTTTAAATGAGAGGCATCCTTCAGTTGCAGGCTGTGCTCTAAACAGGGCCCTCGCATTTTCTTTGCTTGTCGACATGGGGTCGCAGGCTTTCGATCTGAGTTCGCGCTCGAGAAGTTCTGCGTCGCGGGCGCAGGCAGCCAGCTCGTGGAGGCAGCCGCAGAGGCGCTAGACAAATACGCAGGCGAATCTGACCCAGCATCATCAATATCGGGGTTGACTTCGGGCCAGGGAGGCACGAGAAAGTAGCTGGGGCCAAACAGATATGCAGTGAGCGCTGGCGCAAAGGATCGGCCATAATATCGAAGATAATGAGCCTCAGGAACCCCAAAAGGTCCCGTGCAAAAATATGGCGCTGCTGGGCCAAGCCGTCGTGCGCGCACGGGGGGGAGGTGGCGGGGTGGTATCCGAATGAAGTCAAGCGTTTCAGTGGCCCAGCGGCTGGGTTCTTGGGATTCACCTCGCGCGGCGCGGACCTCAATTTGGCCTTCGCCCTGGGGCCCAGCCGAGACCCTCTCAGGCCGGCAGCCGCGACGATCGCCAGATTTGCCGAGGAGTTCTGTTGCTCGTCTGGCGCTAATCATCGATCGCTCAGCAGACTGTTTAAGCGTTGGAGAGCTGTCCAGAGTGCAGAATGTGGTCCAGTCCTGTTTGCAGCGTCGGCCGAAGGGCTCTTGGGATTCGCGCTCTTGGGGCCCCGTGGGCGACGTGCTCCTCTGGATGGAAAGGGCTTCTTGGGCGGTCCAAGGGCCAGGCTTCTTCGGGGTGAGGAATGGCGCTCCGTGAATTCTGGCGAGCGCCCCCTGTGTTTCAGTTTCCAGATGTTTCGTCGAGGACTTAGGTGCGCAGTTCGTGGCTAGCAGCGCGGCCAAGCACTTGAGAGATAGTGAGCGCCAGCGAGCGCAAGAGATCCTGTCAAAGGGGTCTTTGGGATTCCAAGAGGTACGACAGAGGGGTCGAAAGAGTCACCAAACTGGTGTTCACAAGATCTTTTGTCACAGCCAGCCAGTTGCATAAGTGAAGATACAAGGTGTGGCCGATCTGCCCGTTCTGTCGTCACCTCCCTAGCGGCGGTGCCCCGGGTGGAGTGTGGCATCGAGTGTTTGAATGCGCTAGTCTGGAGTCTACCCGGGCTGAACGCATGCCGCGCGAGTGGGCGGCAGCAGTGTTGGAGGCAGGACCCTCGGACCCCTTTTTCGGCAATCTCTGGCTCCCCATCCCTGACAGAATCGTCGAGGCAACCTAGGAGGGCAGAATCTGTTCTGTTGGACCCGAGGGACCCACTTCGAATATTAAACTCAAGAAGAGTTGGCACATTTATTCCGATGGTTCCTGCTTCGCCCCCGAATCTGAGCTGGTTGCGACAGGGGGATGGGCTGTTGCGGCACTTGGCGATGGGGGCCACCTCATCTGCGCCCTCTACGGCAACCTCCCAGGCTTCCACCCAGTCAGCGGCTTTCGCCGAGTGCTATGCCCTTTTCCTTGCTCTTCAACACTTGGAGGAGATGGAGGAGGGAAGCGCGGAAGAGTATACCTGCACATCGATTGCAAATCATTGTTCAGCGGCTAGGACAACCCCAGATCCGCAACCTCGGGGAGCAGCCCGCTGTCAGAGATCTGGAGAGTGCTCTACGCCGATTCCTTCCCCGAGTGGAGGCTTCCCGGGGTGAAGACCCACGTTTTGTCCGACAGCCTCGTGGGCATCGACCTCCGCCATACGCGTGGGATGACTATGTCGACGAGTATGCAAGAGATGGGGCGAAACAACATGTTCAAGTATTAAAGACTATCTACCTCTACGAGGTTAACCTGGCTGGTTGGAGTGAGGTCGCACTGGACACTGCCAATCTTCTCGCTGGCCCCCCCAGGGCCAACGAGCTGTTTGGGAATTTGGACCGCGCCGCATCTGACATCATTGAGCCGAAGCCCGTCCCTGATGCTCGCTCTCATCGCGTGCTGTGGAATGGGTGTCGTTAGCGGTACGTCTCGTGCGCCAAACATATCCGCAGACCCGATCCAGTAGGTATATGCGCGGAGTTCAGCCCCTCCCTCCGCAGACTGACGGGAGGTAGTGCTGGACAGGCCGCACAGTTTGTATGTCACCAGGGTTTTGGAAACCGGTCTTCCCGTATTGTTTTGTGTAACGTGTGGGTCCTACACTTCGGGCCAGCCCAGGCGCCTGGCCCCGGACTGCACAAAAGGTGTTTGTTCACTGCTCAGAGGAAGCAGCGTCTGCCGGGCAGGCTTCCATGGCCAAAGGGCCAGCATGTCTCCACCCCCTGGCCCCTCCGCTTTTCCCGAGTGAGGGCGGGGAAGGGTGGGCCACATTGAAGCACGCGTGAATGGTTATTTTCCACGGGTCTGACTGTCTGGGGTGCCCCTCCCGTCCCTGCAAGGCGGGTCCTGGCCCTTGTGGTTTCGCCGTCCAGGTGATGGGGGGGGCTCTCTCTCAGCAGTGTGACACATCAGCAGTCCTTCTATCATGGATTGGAGGAGTGAAGAGAGAGCTAGCGGAAGTAGGAGGAGGGGTGGGGGAGGAGGAGAAGGATGAGGATGAGGATGAGGATGATGATGATGATGATGATGATGAGGAGGAGAGAGGAGGAGGAGGGAGGAGGAGGAGGAGATGATGAGGATGAGGATGAGGATGATGATGATTGATGATGATGATGATGGTGATGATGATGATGATGATGATGATGATGAGGAGGAGGAGGAGGAGGAGGAGGGGAGGAGGGGGAGGAGAGGAGGAGGAGGAGGAGGAGGAGGAGGAGGAGGGGGAGGAGGAGGGGGAGGAGGAGGAGGCGGAGGCGGAGGCGGAGGCGGAGGCGGAGGCGGAGGAGGAGGAGGAAGAGGAGGAGGAGGAGGAGGAGAAAGAGAAAAAAAAAGAGAAGGAGGAGGAGAAAGAGAAGGAGGAGGAGGAGGACGACGACGAGGACGAGGAGGGATGAGGAGGAGAAGGAGGAGGAGGAGTACGAGGAGGAGGAACAGGTGGAGGGAGTAGGAAGACATGATAGGTGCGCTAGCGTCACATCTGACGTTCCACTCCTTCCTCCAATCCTTTACCATGATGTAGATCTTCCATCTATTCGCGCAGACGGATGTCCAGCAGGGCAATGAACCCAAACGGTTCGCGTTGGATGGAAAAGCGTGGCGTAGAAGAGCACGGCAGAGCATAGTATGTCATAGCATGGCGTGGCATTGCGTAGTCAAGCATTGCATCACAAATCATAGCAACGCAAAGCATGTAATCGCACAGTGGTGAACGACACAGCATTCGCATTGCATGCCGTAGCATGGCACCAGATGACTTGGATAGTAAGTGGCCCGTCTAAGAGAGGACAGGGCCTGTCTGGAATGCATGCTCCATGTCCTCCGCAACCGTGCCTGCCAGAAGTGGGCGTTTTCGAATTCCAAGTGCTGTCCAGAGGCGTGGGAACGAGGCCAGCGCTGCAGCGGGAGCACGGTGTTGAATGACTAGAGCGCGGAAATGAAGGCGGTGCTGCGGCAGCGGGAACACTAGTATGGTCGAGCCAGAAACGACCGTACCGAAAAAACGCACGGACAGAGGACGGAACACTCTCGGGACAGAGTCAGGAGAGAGAGGATACTAGTTTTCATATAATGTAATTTTGGAGGAGGAGGAGGAGGAGGAGGAGGAGGAGGAGGAGGAGGAGGAGGAGGAGGAGCAGGAGCAGGAGCAGAAAGAGGAGGAGGAGGAGGAGGAGGAGGAGGAGGAGGAGGAGGAGAATGAGGAGGAGGAGGAGGAGCAGGAGGAGGAGGACTGGATGCAGGAGCCGAGACGCAGGAGTCTTGCCCTCGCCTGGGCGCACCGCCGCGGTCCGGCCAGGCCCTGCGGCTGGAGAGGAAACCCGGGACGCTGGATCCCGGGGCGCTGCGCTCTGGTGAGAGGATCTTCCTGCGGGCGCACACCGGCCACCACCTGGAGGCGCGGGGCCCCCCCGCCGCCGCCGCCGTGGCCCGTGGGTCGGAGGCGGGCGGCGGCCCAGTGGAGGGGTGTCCCCGACGAGGCTCCCGGGCGGCTGCGTGCAGTGCCCGCCCCTTTTGGGCTCCGCCCGCCCCTCCTGCCCGGGCCGAGTGGCCGAGGCCGTCGCCGTCGCCGAGGGCCGCGGCCTTGTCCGCCGCCGTCGTCGCGAACGGTGTGGTCGCCGTCGTCGTCGTCGCCGTCGGCGTCGTCGTCGCCGTCGTCGCCGTCGTCGTCGTCGTCGGCGTCGCCGTCGTTGTCGTCGTCGGTGTTGTCGGCGTCGTCGTCGGCGTCGGTGGCGTCGGCGTTGGCGGCGTCGGCGTTGGCGGCGGCGGCGTCGTCTTGGTGGTCTCAGTTGTCGGCGTCGGCGTCGTCATCGTCAGCGTCGTCGTCGTCGTCGTCGTCGTCGCTGTTGTCTGCATCCTCTTCAGCTTCCTCCTCTCCCTCAATCTCCTCTATTCTCCTGCTCTCGTACTCTGGCTCCCCCTCTCCTGCTTCTCTCCCTCCGCTGGTCCTGCTCCTGGTCTTCCTTCTGCTCCTTCTCCTGCTATTTCTTCTGTCCCGCCAGTTCCTTTCGCTGTCGAAGGGGAGTAGGGGGGCTGAGGATGAAAACAGGGAAAACATCTGAGGAGGATGTGGAGGAGGACGAGGAAGAAAACGAGGAAGAGGATGGCGATAATCAATCAGACGAGGAGGATGAGGCGAACAAGCAGGAGGATGAGGATGTGTATGATGATGATGATGATGATGATGATGATGATGATGATGATGATGATGATGATGATGATGATGAGAAAAACGAGTGACACGAGGACGATGATGAGCAGGAGGAGGAAGAGGAGGAGGAGGACGCAGATGAGGAGGACGACGTGGAAAACGAAGACGGGGGGATGGGGAAGGAGGAGGAGGAGGATGAGGAGGAGGAGTAGCAGGACGAGGAGGGGGAGGAGGAGGAGGAGGATTATATGAAGGATGTGGAGGATGGGTAAGGGGACAAGCTAGGTGCGCGCGCGTCATATCTGATGTCCTACCCCTTCCTCCCATCCCTTACCATGGCGCTGATTTTCTCTATCCGCGGACTAGTGGGTGGTGGTGCGCGTGCGTGCGTGCGTGCGTGTGTGCGTGGTTGTGGTGGTGGTGGTTGTGGTGGTGGTGGTGCTGGTGCTGGTGCTGGTGGTGGTGGTGGTGGTGCTGGTGGTGGTTGTGGTGGTGGTAGTGGTGGTGGTGGTAGTGGTGTGTGTGTGTGTGTGCGTGTGTGCGCGTGTGCTGTGGCATGGCACGGGAAATGACGCCAGCGCTGCAGCGGGAGCACGATTCGGAACGAGCGGAAGCGCGGAAATGAGGCCAGCGCTGCAGCGGGAGCACGACTCGGAACGAGCGGAAGCACGGAAATGAGGCCAGCGCTGCAGCGGGAGCACGATTCGGAACGAGCGGGGCCCGAAAATGAGGCCGGCGCCTCGGCGAGAGCAGCATTTTGAAAAAAATGCAGGCGAAAACCCAACTCCCGGGAATCCGGTGTGTAAAAAACCAGGACGCGGGGGGGGTCGGCTACTTTCAGGCCGCCATCGGGGGAAGAGGGAGAGTAGTATTCATATTGAGTAATTGTTAATGTTGAGAGGGCTGAGCGGGAGGATGAGGAGGGACGTAGGGAAGAGAGGACGAACAGGGGTGGGTGGGGGCTGCAGCGATGGCTCCCTCCTCCGCCTCCTCCTCCTCCTCCTCCTTTTCCTCCTCCTCCTCCTCCTCGTCAAAACCAGCCCCCAGATGCGTCCTGGAGCCTATAGACTTCGAGGCGGATCCAGCCGCGGCGACGACGCCCCCCAAGGAGGCCATCCAACATTCTCCAATCTTGTGGACTCCGCCTCTTCTACGAGGTGGAGGCAGTGTGCGACAGCAGCAGCCGTGCGCCGAAAGGCGGCCTCCCCCTCCTCGCCTTCTCCCCCCCGCGATGCTGACCCTCCCCCGCGAGGTGCTGCGGCAGGATGCGATGGCCCGCAGCGAGCGCTACGGCGCGCAGCAGGCCTTCGTCATCACCAAGCCGACGGGGTCCTACTGACCGCCCCGCAGCGGCGCCCCGCCGCTGCGCGACGCCCGCTGGCGTCCCGCCCGTCGCTGCGCCCGCTGGCCCTCGGCCGCTGCGCTCGGCCGCTGCGCCGCCGCTGCGCCGCCGCTGCGCCCCCGCTGCGCCGCCGCTGCGCTCGCAGCGCCCGCTGCGCACGCAGCGCCCGCTGCGCCTGCAGCGCTCGCTGCGCCCGCTGGCGCTCGGGCGCGCCGGCGCCGCTGCGCCGCTGCGCCGCTGCGCCGCTGCGCCTGCAACGCCCGCTGCGCCCGCAGCGCCCGCCACGCTCGCAGCGCCGCGGCGCCTGCAGCGCCCGCTGCGCTTTTTCAGCGCGCCTGGGGCGCCGCTGCGCGTGCCCAATGCTTGGCGCCGCTGCGCCCGGCCCCCTCTGGCCGTGGTGCCGCCGCTGCGCCGTTGGGCGGCCAAGCCGCCCAGGGGTGCGGGCTCCGGCAACCTCGAGGGTGGCGGCAGCCCCGCAGGACGGCGGGTTCGGCCGGGTTCGGCGCTGGAAGCCGCCCCCCTCTGAGGCCGTCGTCGTCGTCGTCGTCGGCGGCGCCGTCGTCGTCCTCGTTCTTGTGGTCGCCTTCGTGGTGGGCAGGGCCCCCAGGAGGTAGTCCCAGCTGGCCCTCCACAGGCCCCCAAGATGGTCCAGATGGCGGCCTCAGCATTCAGCGCCGCCTGTGGCGGACCCCCCCCCCTCCTGCGGGGCGAGTCGCCGATGCTGAACCCGGGTCCTGAGGAGGGCAGCCGGGAGTGCCTCCGAGGGCTCGCGACCATCACGGATCGATGCAGCTGGAGGAATGCCGCAGAAAGACTGTGTCGAGGGTTTTGGGCACGACTGTCCACGAGCTGGCATTTTGTCCCGAACCCTCCTGTGTTGGGCTCTCGTCTCGACTAGAGAGCACGGTGCTCTCCAACCTTCCTCCTCCTCCCCCTCTTGTTTCCTGCCTCCTACTTCCTGCCTCCTGTCTCCTCTTCCTCCTCCCTTCTCCCCCCTCCTCCTGTCTCCTCTGCCTCCTGCCTCCTACTTCCTGCCTCCTGTCTCCTCCTCCTGCCTCCTGCTTCCTGCCTCCTGCTTCCCTCTCTTCGTCCTGCCTGCGCTGCAGCCCCGTGGTGACTCCGCCCCTCTCGCCTGGCTCCTGTGCGGGGGAACCTTTGCGGCTCCCCTGCGGGTGGCCGCGAAGTGCGCCACCGGCCGCCACTTTTTCGTGGGCTCCCGGGAGGCCCGGCGCAGTGGCGTTGTCAATGCACCCAGCCGAGGCCTCGCGGCTCTCCTGCGGGTGGCTGCGAAGCGCGCCACCGTCGCCACTTTCGCGGGCCCCTGCGGGTCCTTCAACATGTCTGCTTGTACTAATCGGTCCTGTGCATCGTCGCCACGTGTGTAGAAAGGGTTGGGTGCGTCGCAGGGTAGCTTCCCAACCCTCCTGTGCTGGGTTGACCGTTTTGAACAGAGCACCGTGGTCGCGTCTTCTCCCTCCCTCTCCTCCCCCTCCTCTCTACTGCCTCCTAATTATCTCCCCTCTCTCTTCTGCCCTCTGCCTCTCTCGTGGACCTCTGGGAGGGGGGACCTGTGTGAAGCCGTCGCTGCTTTTCGGCAGCTCCTGGGAGGTCGCGCGGCGTGGAGTGTCACGGGGACCCCGTTCAGACCTCGCGGCCCTCTGGGGAGCTGCCAAGTGCGAGTTTGTCGCCCCCTCTGTGGGCTCCCGGGGGAGGCTGCCGGGGAGACCTCGAAAACGCTGGGCTGACGATGTAGTCAATTTTTTGCGTGATGCCGCTACGACGCCCCTGGCGGGGACTGGATTTCACTTGCTTGCAATGTAGAGTTGTGGACGAACCTGCAGGACGGCTTCATGTGCGAGTCCATCTGAGGCACTGCGGTGCCATCCACCCACGCCCCGCGCAGGGCCGGGCGCTGCCCGACATTGGATGTTCGTTCGTTCGTTCGTTCTGTGGGCTCCTGGGAGGTCGCGCGGAGTGGAGTGGTAGGGGGACCCAGTTGAGACCTCGCGGCTCCCCGGGGGGCTGCGATGCGTGAAGCTGTCGCCACTTTCGTGGGGTTTTGGGAGGTCGCGAGGAGTGTTGATTTTGTGTATTTCTGAGAGCTCATGCGCAATGCTTCGCACTGCACTGCTGGTGAGCGGTCCTCAATCTATTCGCCACATGTTAAGAAAGGGTTGGGTATGTCACTGGGTAATGTTCGCGAGACCTGATCGGAGGACGTCGGCTGACCCTGACCAGGCCCATCCTGGGCCCAGGATGGGCAGTCCCCTCCCCCTCCCCCTCCCCTTCCCCCTCCCCCTCCCCCTGCTTCTCGCCCTTCCGCTCCCCCCCTCGGCCGCCGCCGACCGCCGCCGCCGCGCCGCTCCACGCCTCCTCCTCTCTCCTCCTCCTCCTCCTCCTCCTTCTCCTCCTCTTAACCATGGGGTCCGTCGCCCGTCTCGGGTCGGCCGGGATGGGGCGGAAGGGTGTGTGTGTGTTCCGACAACAGCTGCGCGCTGCTGGGCTCGGCCCTGCTGCCAGGCCCCTTCTGGAAGACACCGGCGCCTCCGGCGCCGGGCGGGGCTGGAGAGACCAGTCACGTGAGCTGACTCGCTGGCCCCCCCTCTATTGACCGCCCCTTCCGTCCGACCTGGCCGTCGTCGTCGTCGTCGTCGTCGTCGTCGTCGTCGTCGTCGTCGTCGTTGTCGTCCTCGCCGTCGCCGTCGCCGTCGCCGTCGCCGTCGCCGCCGCCGTCGCTGCCGTCGTCGCCAGGACGCGCGCCGGGCCAGTGGCTGCGCGGCAGCGGGCGCCTAGCGGCAGGCGGCCGCGGCCTCCTCCTGCGTGGAAAGCGCCGCGGTCCCGCTGTCTCCCGCCACCGCCTCCAGTTGTCGCTCCCGCCGCCTTCACCATCTGGGCGACGCAAAAAAAGGTGTCGTCTGCGCCGACGCTGGCGCGTAAGCTGCCCGCGTAAGGCAGCGCGCGAGCGACCTCGTCTCCACTGTGGCGCGCCGCGCTGTCACCAGAGAATCGGAGATGACAAACTGCCATAAACATAGAGTGTTGGCGCTCCGCGCGGATTTTTTTGATCCGCGCTGGGCTCCCCTGGCGGCGCCTCCAGCGCCGCCCCTGGCGCGTTCCGCGCGCCAGGGAGGGGGTCCAGCGCAGATTCAAGAAGCCCGCGCGGAGCGCCAAAAGTTTATGCTTATCCCGTTTTTCTTCTCATAGAGGCTCGGCGGCGAGCCCGGGGGGAAGTGAGAAGGGGCGGTCCTTCTTAGAGGGCTCGGGAGCCCCCGGGCCTTTGAGAGGTTTGAAAAGCCTTCCCCAGAGACACAGGAAACTATTCAGAAGGCGCGAGGGCTTCTGAGATGCCCCGCCACCTCCTGAGGAGGTCTTCTCCTGCTCACTTCCCCCCGCTTGCCGCCGAGAAGAGCGAACCACCACCACCAGCCAGGGGGGGCTGGCCGCTCCCTCACCCGAGCTGGTGGCACCTCGCTCCGGGCGCGCTCCCAGAGAGTGCCCGGAACGAAAAATGCCACCAGCTCGGGAGGTGTGACCTCTGGGAACGGAGGTTTGTGGATTTCTGGTGGTGGTGGTGGCTCTTTTTGCTCTCATGAGTTTTTCTGTCCCGCCGTCCATGCGGTCGCGGACCTCGGCGTCTGTCCGTCCTTCCTCTCGGCGGAGCGTGAGGCTCGTGTCCGCCAGGGCTCGGGCCCGCCAGCGCTTCTCCACGGGCCCGTCCTGCATTTTGACGGTCAAGTTTTCGTGGGATGTTTGCAGCGGGAGCTCGCGTCAAAGTTCAGACTGGGTCTCTTCATGTTCAGGCCCCGTCAGGCAACTCGAGTCCCCCGAACCCCAGTCTTGCGTTTCCCTGGTCTTCTTTAGAGGAGGACAATCTACCGATACTGTTACCCTCCCCTCGTCGCCATGGCTGGATTCGTCTCGAGATTCTGGTCAAAGCGCTCCCCAGGAGAGGCCCGAGGAGAAGCGGTGTCGGCATGTTTTTGGTCCCCATTTTGGACGGTCCCGTGGCACCACAGCGGCCCCGGGAGGCCGGAATCGACGAACAACGCTGACGCGGAGGCCCCCATAGGTGCATCTCGTTTCTGGACCTTTCTCGTCGTCAGTCCCCGAGTTGGAGAGTCCTGTAGCGTTTAGCGGAGACCGAGCGTTCCCCAGCGGCTCGCTTTCAGGGCGCCGGAGTGCCACGCCCGCTACATCGCTACGTGTCGAAATCCCTCGCCGGCCAAACGCAGGCGGGAGAGCCAGATCCTCTCCAGGTTTCCGCGGCTGGAGCGAGGGCCTCTTCACGCGCCGTCTCCAGCCAAGCATGATGATTAGTGGGGCGTCTCAAGTCGGGCCTGTCCCTCTACAGGAGGGAAATTCACAAATAGTCAACAAAAATTCGTCTGGGGACGATTTGTTTGGACCATTTTTGAATTTTTTGTTGGGGTATTTTTGTTGGGTATTTTTTAAAAACATTTTTCGTCCAAAGTCCGCCTGCAGGGGGGCAGGCCCGACCTAAGGGTAGTCATCATCACCCACCAAACCACCCCAACCCAACCCGAAGGCCTCAATTTGCCCTCCGTTTCCAGTGTGGGGGGGTCCGGGAACATCGAAAAACCACACATGGAGCCCATACCCCCCCCCAACCCGAAATTCGGGTCTTCGGGTTGGGTTGGGGTGGTCTGGTAAGTAGTCAAGTCAGATCAGGGTCCACCTCCCTGGTGCGATCTCACAGGGCGAGCGAGCCGCTCGGCGCATCGAGCCCGCAGTCGGGCCGCGGCAAAAGCGGGTCCCCCCCCCCTTTCCCAGCGGCTGCTGCTCTGCGGTGCTGGTGTGCCACGCCCGCGGCATCTTCGAGCAAGCCGCTCGATCTTCGAGTCCGAGTGATAGAGAGTCTGAGTGTGAGCCTGAGTGTGAGCGAGGCTGAGTCCGAGTGACCCGTGAGGGGGCAGACGAGAGGAAAGAGGAGAGGAGGCGGCGAGGAGGCAGCTCCTTCCTTCTCCTCCTGCGTCCTCCCCCGTCCAGATTCTCCTGTCCCCCTCCTCTTCCTCCTCCTCCTCCTGCTCCTCCCTGGCTGCCGTCCTGGTTCCTCCAGCTGTGTCCTCCTCC